TTCTTTCTTTCTTTCTTTCTTTCTTTCTTTCTTTCTTTCTTTCTTTCTTTCTTTCTTTCTTTCTTTCTTTCTTTCTTTCTTTCTTTCTTTCAGCAATGCAGAAGGATTCCAGCAGTTTTCCTTCTATGGATGCAAAACCAGCTGCTGCACTACTAACAAACATAACTGCAGCAGCACTCCTTCACACTCACATCCCATTGAACACAGACGACAGCAGGACCGGGCCCCAGACACACAATCAGCTCTCAGTGGGTTGCACCTTGGCCATTATGCCTTACAGCCTGCTCTTGAACACCCTGCCGAGACATTAACTTCACAGCCAACATCCGTTCCCTTTACTGATCTGCTGCGCCATGCCATACTGCTGCACTGCCTCCACAGGACCGGAAAGCCTTGCAGGGACCTAACATATCCTGTCTGGGGCTGCAACAGCCACAGATGCATCTTAAGCAAGAGGCCAAATTGAAGGCTTTGTCTGAACTTTTAACTTGTGCTCACTAGATTGCCATGGAGGTATGCTGACCCAGACAGATGGTGCTTATGCTGCAGCGCCCTCTCAGCCTGCTCACCTTTTGTCTGCCCACTCGAGCTGGAGAGACATTGCTCCCACAGGGCAGCTTGCAAAGGTCTTGTGGTGTAGGAGTGCCAGCCTTTAGATGTGCAATACTTTGACTGGATTTAAAGCCCACAGATTGCTGTTAACCACCTGGTCAAATACCATGAGGTCTCTGAACAGGCCTGTCGTAATTCTTTTTTTTATAATAGGTGAAAAAAAGAAAATTCAGATCCCTGAAAATGCCATGTTAAAGTGGGCCAGTCATATCTGTAGTGTTACAGGGTCAGTCTTTTAAATAATGTGATCAGTGTGTGTGTAAGTATTCCCTGCAACACCCCTAAATCTCTTGTTTTACTCTTGGCACTACATGATGTCATAGAGAAGGGCTGCTAACTAACCCTCTGAGTAGAGAGACCACACTCACCTGCTGTTTAAATCTTCTGACTGAGAGGGGCAGCCAATCAATTAAAACTGTGGCCTTAAAGTAATAAGAACTTAAAAAGTTTTGTTTGACATAGCAGGTGAATGAGGTGTGTGCATCCAGAGCTTTTACTACACAAATCAGAATTTATTTATTTATTTATTTATTTATTTTGATCAAAGTTTCTCTGGTTGAATGCAAGAATAGAAATACGGCGCTAGAAACGAGCACAACAGGTCCACTTTCATGTAGACTGTGCGGTTGGTTTTGTTACACAAATAAATCCTTGTGTCTCTAAACTTCACCAATTAGCACATTTGTTGGTCTGAGTTGCAAAAACTCAAGCGTCAAAACTGCACTTTGTTTAATAGGTGTTGTGTGCAAGGTGTGTTTTTGTTGCCAAGTGAGACATTTCCCTTCACAGAGTCCTGATAAACATCCACGATAACCCCATAAAATGGTGAATTGTGTGATGGAGACACAACTATACTGGCACCTCCATACAGAGATGAGAGTAGGATTGGTCTTCTTCTATGATTCAAAGGCTATGAAGCAAATCAGTGAATTTACCAAGGTATGCTTCTCTTCTTTCAACAAACTCTGGTCTAATACAATAATAAGAAAAACTCGAGTATTTTAAGCTTGAATGGTGATTCCTGTCACTCATACTCATTGTATACACAACCTCCTTTGTTCTTACTTATTTGAACTGAGTTGAAATGTGTCAAAAGGTTGCGTTCACACGCCAAGAGCTTATTATAGCCTTTTTATGAACATGAACAGCAAGCAGCCTTCACATGGCATGCATAGCTCTGCATTGTACTTTTGTAGTCATTCCAGGTAGCACAGAATAAAAAATTCCCTGGATGCCAAGTTAGGCTTTTGTACTGTTGACATATGTTTATGTGTGCACGTGCACCTGCCAGAAAGCTGGTGGAGAACATAGACGTGAACATGTGAGATAACCAAAGAAAGATGACAAAAGGTGAAGGAGAAAAGGCGGTGAAGGCTGGCCAGGGAGTGAGCCAGGCAGTTAGGGGGCCAGTGGAGGTCTGAATTCCAATAGCGTGTGGAGAATTGAGCATCCCCCACACAGATGTTCACAGTCATCACCCAGGCAGTTTATAATAATATTAACTGCCGTGACAATGGGAAGAATCAGGAGGCAGTGACATATTGGATGATAACTCTCCGAACTGGCCGGTAAGGTTATTTGCTTTGGAGCAACTGCAGGAGACAGAAGTAAAACATCTAACAAATTAATCCAGTTTGGTGTCTGATGAAAGAAAATATGACGAGGGGTACTCTTGCAGCACACACACACACTCACTGTATCCATACTAAGTGCACCAAACTGACCACATTGCTTGCAGCTGCAGTGTAGTAAACCTTATCAGAAAGACAGACAATAACATCGGTAACATTCCTGCACTGATTTATCTCAGAGATTGAAGCTGGAGGATATGTGGAGGGGCCTTCGGAGACATCCTGCCATGGATGTGTCCTTTTTACCTGAAACAAAAAAAACCTAGGAAAAATTTTCTGTGTGCTGCTAAGTATCAAAGGAGATTAACTGAGCTTAAGTCGTAGTCAGATACTGAGATTTATGATCTGGAGAGGAGGCGACACCTGGCTGCGTCAACAATTCCGGCACATACACGGAGACACGTACACAAGGAGTTGAAATGAGAAAGTCAAATGTTTTTTGTCTTGGGTACGCTCTCATCTTTTTGATGCTTAAAATTTCCATCCGACAAAGACATGAACTTGAATCGTTATTGCACTTATTTATTTGATAAATTGCACATTTTTGGAGCATTTTCACAATAACCTCGTGAGGATGCATTAAGCCTCAGACAGAAAGAAAAGTAGGAACATTGTGCAATTGATGTGAGCGTCCCCAGGAATTTTTTATTAAATTGGAAAGTAATAATTAAGCATGCTCTGAATAGCATTCATGTGCACGTACAAACACACACAGATATATTCATCATGGAAGTTCGCTATCCTGCATCTTTGTTTTATATATATATATATATATATATACACACATATATATATATATATATTTCGAGAGAGGGAATTTCTTTAATGCGTCAAAGATTATTAGCAAAAGTGCTACAATATAAAGCAAAAACTTGCACTTCTGTGATGAATACGTCTGTCCACGCACCCGGTAGCATTCACACACTCTCTCACATTTCAAAATACTCTGTTTTCGCCCATCTGCTACCTCAATCTGACCCACTCTGGTCCGTGACACCCGTGGTGTCTGTTGGCATGTGAAGTACAAAGGGCACTGGCTTATATCACATCTTGTTCGGGCCTCATGTCTGCTTTTAGCTGTAGTTCAGAAGCAATAGAGACATCGGCCGGGTCAGTAGGGGGAAAACAGAACAGATGTGTGCGTTGTGCAGATGGGTCCGGGTGCCGGATGAAGCAGGGCCTGGGGGAGGGATTGACTGTGAAACAGGGCGGGATTCGAGTTTGATGCAGGTGGGAGAGGGAATGGGGGCAAAGATGCCATGGCAGCAGCAGCGGCAACAGAGAGCTGACGCTGGAGGACACAAGACGCCAGAGGCTTGGTCAGATCTTGGTTCTTTTGTAAAGTCAGCCTTATCTGAGGATGAAAGACAGGCAGACAAAGTAGTATCAAGTTGATTGTTTTTCCTGGAAAATTAAACAGTTTAAAGTAGGAAAGTACAAGCTGTTCCATTTATCACCAGGCATTTTTATTAATAATCCACTCTCTGTTCCAGTGAAATCCTGCCCTTTTGTCCAACTCATCATGTCAAGGGGTTAGAATTCAGAAAATTTATTATTCTTGAGCTATTGCTGACTATTTGTTTCACTGGCAGTAGGGAGTGGAGCTTCCTGGAAGAAGCCCATGAGGATCAACTCATGTACACAAACACAATGATGAGGGGGTGAAAGTAAGTCAAGCAATAACATGGTACTCACTGCCTGGAAACTCTGGTGACGCTGGGTGAGGGTGTAGGGGCTGAATTTAGGCTTGGCTGGTTTACCTGCCGCTCTGTCCTTGTGTCTCCTGCTGCTGATGTGCTGGAGTCGAGGAAAGAGACACGTAGATAAGCACACAGCAAAAGAAACCCACACAGACACGGACTGCAGCAGAAAGATGGCATGGGTGAAAGAAGAAGGTGATGCTTGGTAATCTGAATAATGTGAAAAAGAAATTAAAGGCAAGCAGGAATCAAAGCTCCTATTTTTGGCAATTCAGGCAGACTGTTTGTATTTTGTTGACTCTGAATTTGAGACTCCAAATATTTATGAGGGGCGGGTTAGGAAATCTTTTAAAATTTGACTGACAAGCACAAACAGATGGCTGTGGCCAACGCGCCACACAATCAGCAGCAAGCTGCTAAATATTCATGAGCACCTGGCCAAAGTTAACTTTTAAACAGTCGGCGGTGAAGACCAACGCTATGCATTCACATCACGAACAGAGATGCTAACATCATATTCAAATGCTCAGTGAAATAGCAAAGGCTTAGTAGCTTTGTGCTCTTTATCTTGAGGGATCTGTGATTTTAACTCACCTGCAGCGATAGGTGTGAGCCGTTCACACTGTGATTGAGAATAAAATTTGCATGGCCCTGAGTTTCCCGTCTTTAATGCATGATGGATAAAGTGACGATGGATCGCGGTGGCTTTGTACTTCCTGAACTCTTTGAATAGCAAATCTGTGTGACAGCTGACCTTTTAATAACTTTACATGCACAAGAGGAACTAACCAGTAAGTTAGTGCAACAGTCAGTTTTCTTATGTTACCTTCCATTGGTCACTCCCTGAGGGCAGGAACAAAACAACTACTGGCAATCAGTGTGCAATAAAATAAGGTCATTGCATGGTGTTACTGCGAAAAACAAGGGATCACTTCTTGGATAAATCTAATTAAATAAATTTGCTTTCTTCCTCAAACCATACAATTGAAGTTTTGCTGTACATTATATCATGTGATTCCTGTAATGACCACCAGACACTTGTGCATTGCAATGTGCATTAAGATAAATATCTAATCAGCCAATCGCATGGCAGCAACTGAGTGCATTTAGGTATGCGGAGCTCAAATCATCTCAAACTGGTTTCTTGGACATGACAAGAGTTTAATGTACTCAAACAACCTCCACAGTCACCAGATCAAAATCTAAAAGCACACTTTTGGGATGTGGTAAAAAGGGAAATTAGCATCATGGATGTGTAGCTGAAAAATCTGCAGCAACTGTGCACCCAACCAAAATGCTTCCTGCAGCTTTATGAATCTATGCCATGAAGATTCAATTCAGGTCCAAACACAAAGCGAGTCTAATCTGGTACTAGCAAGGAGTACCTAGCAAAGTGCATGTATATTTCTCATCATGTGAGTAGTTTTTCATGAAGCATCTCTGGGGTTTTTTTTAGGTAAAAGCAAATGCAGCGGAATATCAACATATATATACAAAGTTTTTTGTATTAATCATGTTGTAATTGTAATTAATTGATGTTTGTATTAAAAATCTATAAACCACCTTTCATGGTAAAACATTTTAAGATTCTATATAATGTCAAACACAGAAGTGCTTTAGCCATGATATAGATATATTACAATATATATTAGCAATAATATAGATATGTAAGTATATTACAGAAATGGGTCTATTATGGTATGTTATAATGTACACGGTATGAAGTATGTTATGAATATTCTATAACTATAAGTATGTACAGGCTGTAGTGAGTACAAGCTATGTACAGGCTATGAACAGGATATAAATATGAAATAAAAAACTTATTGCACGCATCACCTGTTTGAGCTGAGTCTCAGAGTTGACGTGCACGTCGCAGATCTCACAGTGGAAAGTTTTATTCTGGAGTCCTGTCGATGACTCAGATGGTGCAGCCATCTTGCCTTTGACCCCCATCCTGGGGAAGGATTTGATGGCTCCATCGCCACTTCTGGCCTCGAGCATGGTCTTGTGCTTGGTGCCTGAGCAGATATAAAGTCAGATCAACAAAGTATAGAAACACGCTTCATGTGGGCAAAGTCTGGCCGTGGCAGCGACTGCCTCTCACCACTGTTGTGGGCCTGAAGCTGGGAGGCTGAGTTGACAGCCACCTTGCAGAGAGAGCAGTACAGAAGACGTATAGCTTTTGCTTCTTCGGTCTCCTCTCCTGGAGCTTCTGCCTCTCCATCTTTTGGTGCCTCTTTCTCTGTTGTCCTTGAAATGGGTGACAAGGAAGGGTCAGAAGGTGCTTTCACAGTTTCAGTGGAGCCACTGGTTGATGGTGCCATTTCTGAGGTAGGGTTCAGCGATGAAGGCTCTAAAACAAAGGGGGGAAAGTAAGGTTATACTTTAATATTTGACTGTTTGGATATTCATCGTCTGGGTAGATATTCAGTTCTTAACTGTGATATTTGAATGTGCTTGCTTGAATGTGTATTTTTTTTCTGTAGACTGAAGAAATAAATGGATTTGTGGTGATTTAGTTAAGACACTGTAGCCATCTTAGCAACATAATTTCTAGATTTAGTACACATTTATCAACTTTTATGGCCAGTGAAGAATCTCAGTCTACGAGGTCTTGCTCTCCACGGCTCGCTCTCCCTCGCTCTGTGCTCTGTTCACAGAGCGGCACAGCGCAGCAGCACCTTAAAGCTTTTAAACTTATGCGTGTGGTGATTTTGTCAGACAGTGTTGGGGTATTAAATTCAGATGGGAAACTTTGAATTGTTTCTGTTGATTACTGCTGAAGCTTCAAAGCCCCCCTCCCCCCCAAAAAAAATGCATTAGGGAAAATCCTGTTGGCAACAATGAGGACTAAGGAAGACAAACGTGAAGATTTTTCCACTTCTATGAAATTCCTGAATTCTTTATGATAAGAGAAAGATAAAAGCTCAGCAGGCTACACATGATTATGAGCTCCATCAACCTCTCTAATCACACTAATAATCAATGATTTCTCCTGGGTTTCTGCCTCGCGGCACTTAAACGGACACTTTTGTATAGAGATGATTTGACTCTGTTATCTTTTGTGGTGCCCACTTTCCCACAGAGGAGCGTGTGCAGATTTAAGGATTCACTCTCTGTTAATAACAATGATTAGCTCTGCCTCACTGAGTGGGTGTCTGTTTGTTACCACTGATTCCCCACTCTCTCACTAAAGTAATCTTCAGAGAGCGCTCCTGCTTCTCATCCACTTCCTCGAAACTCTTGAAATGATCATTCACCCTCTCACTTTCTCGAAAACAAACTCTCCTGTCGGCGTTGTCAAGAATATTTCTTCAACCTCTTTCTTCTTTAGCTGTGGCAAAATGCATTATTTTCAATCCTTAAACGCCCACGCATGTGCAAAAGTAGCACATCAGCACTGGCACAAATATAAACAAACGCTGGAAAGGAGTCTGTGCTTTGACACGCCGCCACACTTGCATGCCTGCAGACGCACATGTGCCCAAGGCCCTTGAGCAAACGTACACTCATACATAGTGGAGGAGAGCTACCCACAGATCATATTCAACGCATTTTCAATGCTCTTTTGATCTCAGGAGACCACTGAATGAGGTCAGAAAATGTAGACACGAAGAAGAAGCAGAGGATAATGCCCAACCTTTAATCACTTCACCGTGCAACCCAAAGCAGCAGGTGGTTTATCACATCAAAGAGTTAAGGTCGTGACTAGGAAAAGAAGGTCTGAGCCGTGCGTTCATATGGCTAACGGTGTCATGCGCGTGATGTCTGTGCACATGTGTGTATGCATGGTTGCAGAAATGCACTCACCTCCTGATGTTGTGTCAGAGCTGGAGGGCCGTGAGCACGATGACAACAGGACTGCAGTTTCCTTGGAGACCGGTTCACAGGTCCTGATCTTTGAATCTGGGGCGTCCAGAGCTAACAGCTTTTTCGCATGCTTCGTGCCGGTATAATGGGAGGACGCCTGAGCCTTGATGCCCAACAGCAAAAGAAAAAAAAAGATTTTGCTTCATGCAGTAAAGTGGCTATCTTTACTTTACACAACAATGCATGACTTGAATATGAATGGAAATACTGCAGAAAGCTATCATTCTCTGACTTGCTTACTTTTGCCAGTGTAGTAAGTAATCAAGTGGTAAGTTGTTAAAGTAAATAAGTGCAGCACTATGTGCACTTTTTCCACATTTTTACAAAGATTTCCGTACAATACCTGACAGTACTTTGCAGTTGTTGAGTTGCTTTCTTATGAGTCATGCTATGGCACAAATAATACAAAATGAATTTTCTACCGAGATCAAATATCAGGGGAGTTCACATTTGACCCAGTAATTAAGTAAGAAAGCTTTAAACCTTCAAAACCAGTAAGACAGCCATGTGTAAGGGCAGGCCTTCTCTGTGGTTCAACTGTCATGTAAGGGTGTGTGTGAGAAAAACAAGCGCACTCTGAAAGACAAAAAACTATTGACAAAGCGTGTGTTTCCCACACAGCATCGCCCACCTCAGAGTTGAATCTAAGACGACAGACGCCGCAGGAACTGGGCTTTCTTATTAAGTGTGACGTTAGCCCGAAGCCTGGGCCAATCAGAGCTTTATGTATATGATCCATCTGCAACAAGGAAAAGTGAAAAGTTATGTCTGAACTGGTTTTGGATTATGCTCTAACAGACTTGACTGAGTTAGGTAGTAAAAAGTGATCTCCTCTTTAAATGTCATGCTATCAGCAGGTAATTTTATCTTTTAGGACCTACTAAGGGTGTTGGTGCCCATAAACATAACAATATTGATGTTCACACATCTATCAGTGAAATCAGCAACACAGCAAACCACGTGCTCTCTGCTGCCTCGGCTTGCCCGAGACAAATACCAACATATCATCTTGACTGACATGATGTAACGTGACTTAGAAAAGCTTTCACAGTGCCGTCTGTTTGGTCATTTCAGCTGGGATTAATTACACTGACACTGAACTGTTTTCATGGGATAGAACAGGATTCAAAATGTTTATATGAAACCTGTCACACCACTCTGCAGCATAACGCACTTGTCTGCTGCCCACAGGTTTTCTCCACATGTTCCAAATGGTCACGTGTGGTAAAGCTTTTTGCCCTTGTGGCCATAAGCACTCTGAAGAGCAAAGCCAATCCTGAAAAATTCAGTGCACTGTGTTTAACGTATTTTATTCACACCACAATATAGAAAACACATCAAATGTTAAACTGAGACATTTGGTATTTCATGAAAAATATAGCAACAGATCTCAAAACAGTTGGCACAGGAGCAAGAAAAGGCTGGAAAAGTAGGTGGTGCTAAAATGAAACAGCTGGAGGAACTTTTTGCTAGTAATTGGGTTAACTGGCAATAAGCCAGTAACATGAGATATCTTAGTGATACAAAGTTTCTAAACTCTAAAACTGGGCTGCGGTGCACCAACCTGCTGAAAGATGTGTCCACAAATTGAGGAGTAATTTCAGAACAGTGTTACTCAACGTAAAATTGTGAAGGGATTGAATACCACATTATCTACATTGCACAATATCATCAAAAGATTCAGAGAATCTGAAGAAATCTCTGTACAATTTCTGAAGTGGAGGGAGGATGGATGGATGGATGGATGGATGGATGGATGGATGGATGGATGGATGGATGGATGGATGGATGGACAAAAAACCCCACAGAGGACTGTTGAACAGCAGCTACTCTCCTCAGTTCCCAGACATTTACAGACTGTTAAAATAAAAAGGGATGCTGCACAGTGGTAAAATGGCCCTGCCCTTCTTTCTGCACATCACTGTTGGAGTCCACTCAGACCACCTTGAAGCCATGTGCCACAGCCTTTGCTATCCATAACAGAGAAAACACAAAACCTTTTACAGGCACCTTTAAAACCTGCAGGGGTGAGAGTTTTACTCACACAGCCCTGTTCCAGGAAGACTTCATAACACCAAACGTGCAAATGGTCTTTCCAACTGAACAGCGAGAAACCATTACCATATTAAGAAAACTAAGTTAAATAGCTTTAAATTGCGTGCAGCATAATCATGTTTGTGTTGCCTGGTACTGCAGATCAGCTAATGAAGTTTCAGACTTTTTCACCCCCCCAGACTACTTTTATTTATGCGTGTAAGAGAGAGGCAGTAAACCTGTCCATGCCTTTGCATATATGCGTGAACACAATACCATTATCTGACCACACAACACTGTGCACTGCTGGACATTGCTGGAAACTGTAATGAGCAAAACTACTCAGTGTAATAAAACCCAACTGGCCTTTGTGGAGCAAAACAAGACTATTACCTGAGATGAAATGTAGGAGGCCATATAAGCAGCCAAAGTGGGCAGGGAGTGGGGAGTGTGGAGTGGGGGTTTTATGGAAATCTGGTTAGTGGTAAAAGTAAAAATTTATGCATTCTTATGGGTCAGCCAGCTAGTCCTCTAACCCCAGAGAACCCTCAGTATAGCACTGCAGTGGAGATGTACCTTGTTTCTTTAGAGCCAAACCTGAACGCGTTCTTCAAAAGTGAAAAACTCAACATTGGGTGTGCGTGTCTGTGTGTGTGTGTTCTCACTACTTTTCTTTGATCATCACTCTGGGCTGCTACACTGGAATGTATCTGTGCAGTCGCAAGTCTCTTATCTCCCTGTTTCCCTGCAGCTGTTTGTCTATAGAAAACTCCAGCAACCTTACATAAAAACAAACATATATCACGTGTATCATGTGTAAAATGCAAAAAGTCGTAGAAATTTAAGAAACAAAGCAAAGGACTAAGTCTGTCATGTAACGTGTGACAAACATCTTTATGTGAGAGTATTTTTGACATCTTTTTTATGCTTCTGTGAATGAGATCGAACAGTTTAACATCAGCTAACAGCCCGCTCGCTCCCTCCTTGCTCCACAGCCCCAAGGTTCCTGTATCTCCTCCTGACCTTCCATCACACGTTCCTCACTTCACCCCTCCATCTGCTTACCTCTGAACCCTCTCCCTTCGCCTGCGTCTGATCAAAGTCACCTTCCCGGCTCCCCGTGGAGTCACCCTCTTACCCTCCACTCCCACTCGGCACTACGATGGACTAGCACCTGCAGCAAAGTCAGTTTGCCCTTCTTACTCATTGCCTCTTCAGTTTTGTTTTGCACAAACACTCGCACAAATACATATATCACATGCAGAAACAAATCTGCCACTGTGAGCTCATGAAGAGAAATGAAAGCAGTACATTCAGTGGATTGTACACTAAATAAAGGCATCACATCCACCACATCCAGCATATTCCCTCCAGAAACCTCCTCGCACACAGGGTGTCAGCATGTCAGACATGCTCTGCTCCAGGGAGGCAGTTATGGCTGAAACATATGGCCAAGTGAAGTAAAGCAGACTTCTAACTTTATAATGATGAATGCTCCTGGATTTACACTGTGTACCAGCATGACAGCTATGTGTGAATGTCTGACGTCAAACACCTAAAGGGAGTGAGTTCTGATGAATGAGCTGCTGCTTTTGGGCTCTTTGTCATTTCAATTATCTTATTCTTGGAAACAATATCTGTTTTTTTTTTGTTTCCAAAAAGAAAGAAATAAAAAGAATGCGAGCCAACCAAGCTTCTGAAGTCCAAGTTTTAAAAGCAGGGGTCCCTGAATCACGACAAGCATCCACACACATGCCTGCAACCCTGTAGTCATGACAACGCACATGTGGGCACCAAACAAACTCCTGTGCAGTTTTATGGAGGCCAAAGCACACAAGTGAATGCACTGCTTACACACAAATACACACACACGAAGAACCCACACATAAAGAGACACATTTCAGAAGAAAACACAGGCCGTCAGAGTTCAGCTGCGTGCCCACTTACTTCACACCCACAGGTTCGATTCAGAGGAGCAAGACAATTCTCTGACAAAATACGTTCTAGACGATATTTTATTTTCGTTCAGCTCATTCCAAACACTCAAAAGCAACTGAAGGATATGGGGACCTCAGAGGTTTAATTTATTTAATAAAGACAGCAAAACCGAAAGAGTTCAGCGATTCACAAATGAGATTATGTCTGCATAACCCAAAGGGAGTACAGCAGGATTAGTTCAACTAAAATGACAAAAGAGAAATTAAAATGCTCTGAATTTTTTTTTTAAAGTGCATCTGAACAGATTTGAGAAGAAAAACTAAAATTAACACATAAGTATTAGAAAAAGATATCCAAACTTCATTTATAAATTACGTTAGTTTGTTTCTGCCACTGAAGAAAATTTTAGTTTGTTGTCCAAAGTCAAAATTTAAGGTTTGTACCTTCGAATTTCAACTTAACATCTCGATTTTTGTTACATTTTGAGATAGTGAGCAAGTTGAAATTTTGAGATAATCAGAAATTTTAAATTATCTCTGTATGTCAATTATTTTTTTCCCAGTGGCAGAAACAAGCTTCCATAACAAATGATAATAGATTGTAGAGGTAGCTAAAATTAAAGCTAAAATTTTCCAATCCAAAATTCCAATCCAAGCCGTGTAACGTATACGCACAATTCAGCCTCGAAAAACAGTGAAAAAAATGAAGTGGCCATCAAGCAATGATGAATTGGTCATGATGTTTCTAAACAAGGAAAGTAGGAAACTAAGATTCTGGGTTCATCTAATTCTCACAAAAAGACAGCAGCAGGGAGAATTTTATGGTTTGATCCAGGAGTTGAAGCTTTACCACGACTGCTTTCGTACATATTTCAGGATCTCAGTGGGGCCGTTTGAGCTCTTGTTGGCAGAGTTGGGGCAGAGTTTGAGGAAGGAGAGAAATAATTTCAGAGAATCGATTGACCCGGAGCAGCATCTAGCAGTGTGTCTGTGGTATAATAGAATATTTTAATATTTCCATCTCACATACATTCAGTACTGGTATTAATTTGAGTTATGAGCGCACATATTGCCAAATGCAGTGATTGGTCAGATTTGGAAAAATAAATGCTACAAAACATCCAGTGAAATTACATGGTCGGTGTGAATGCTTACATCAAGAATAGATGAGTCTGAAAAATATTTCTAACGAACAAAACATTTGTTTAACCCTTGTGTGGTGTTCGTATTTTTGTTACTCAGCCAGTGTTCATGGGTCTGGTGGACCCGCTAGAGTTTTGGCTTTCCAAATTAACACTATCAAACAATTTTATGTTAAATTACTCAACAGATGTTTACTTCATCCCAATTACAAGACATATGAACAGCAAACATGGTTAATTTTTTCCCTTTACCTTTGTTAGATCACATTTATGAATTAATGTGCTTCTCGTTTTTCTTTTATATAAAATGTTATAAATAAATCAGTTATAATCAAGTGGAGTGAGTGGAAAGACACAACACATTTACACGTGAAAAAATAATTAATTGTTTAATTTTTCTTTTGAAAAAAACTGAACACGGGTCTCACAGACCCGAACACCATACAAGGGTTAAAGGACCTCACTCTGGAAACTGTTAGCGCACAATATGGATGAACTATTGAAGCTACTAGCTACTAACTACAGTCCCTCAACTTCTACTCTCTTTTAATGTTTCTAGTAACTTAACAGTATAGATTAAAAAATGCATAACATAATAAACTGTTAGTGGAATAAACAAAATGAAAAGTTAAACAGTTGAGGAGCTAGCTAACATTATGAATCAAAAGTTATCAATTATAAGCTAAAAAAAATAGCTAAACAGTTGAAATTATAAGCGAAACAAGGACAAAGAAACAAGCAAGAGTTTTGTCAAAACATCACTAAGCACTATTAATATCTGTTAAATAGATTAGCGATTAAAAACATTGGCTGCCAGTTATGATTGAACTGTTGACATAATGGCAAGCTAATTAGCTAATGTAAATGCTAAAATGTAATGGGAAGCTAATATTTTAACCACATATCAAATTCTCTTATCATCAGTGAGGGCATTCACTGCTTTCCTCGTCATTTCTGACAGTAAAATTACTATATGTGGGTTTTTGACATTGTCACTATTTTCTTAAACTTTACAGAGATAATGATTAGCAGTTAACTGAGATAATAGCCTGTAGCTAATTGCAGATTTCAAGTTTACAGAGGTGGCAAAGAGGGCTTTTAGTGTGGAGATATGCTGGATTTTAAGTTTTTAGCCAATACTCTTTCTCTAACCTTGCTGTCCAAAAAAGGAGTTAAATCTCCAACATTACTCATTCAGCATTAAGAGTAGTGAACAATGTAGCGCTCAGTCACTTTTTACAGGTGTTACACTATTTCTGTGGCTGCCAACTGGGAGATGTGTTGAACATGGGGTAAAATCAAAGAAATGACAGAAAGAGACAAACAGGGAAAAGACAGCAGGGAGAGTGAGTGAGATATTTAAAAACATTTTTCTGTCCGTGCTATATTAAGGTCACCCAGCAATAGCAACAAATATTGTAATATTAAGTTTCTTATTATGTGCCTTACATTTAGTAGTGAACAGAGGAGTTCAAAGGAAGGTGAAGTGGATCTGAAAGCTGCAAAAGGGAGAAAAAGCGCACAAGAGGATGAGGGAGAGGAAAGATGACAGCAGGGGACAAAGTGGAAAATACATATGAAGAGAGAGCTGAAGTGATGAGGGCGTTGGAGCACAAGCAACACAGAAAGTGGAAGGGGTGGATGAAAGCGAGGTGAAATGGGAGGCAAGAGGGCCGAGACCTAGCGCAGTGTCTCCCTGGGTGGCAGATGGGCTTTTTGACAAAGAGACGGACGCTACACACAATCCCTCACACATGCAAAATAACTGCTACACTGTGAGAGGCCACAAAAGGCAGACAAATACACTCTTTTTGAACCCTCACGTGTCTCTTCTGAGACATCTTCTAAACATCTGACAGCATATCATGGGAAAGAAGAGTAAAGATGAGGGAGGAACAAAAGCACAATTGTCAGCTCTGCTTCCGAGCAGTTATTTGGTCAGACTCAATGGAGTTATGAGCATACTCTTATAGACACAGCCAAGGTATTTAACACCTTGGATTATACGAAGAGATATCACACGATTTCCGTGTAAACCATACATCAACCCTCAGCCTGACACATCTACAGTCCTCTGGGCTTAGACTTGGCCTGCCTTGGTTCTCTCCACCTTCACCTTTCACAAACACCGGGGCAGACAGCTCTAAGAAAAGCTCTGCAGGAGGAATACCAAGGATTCAGCTCCACACCCCCCAGGTTGTGTGGAAATGTCACAGCTCTCTGCATTAGGGATGATATATTTGGAAAGGTGTAGGCAGCGTGCTCATACATCTGTGCATTGAAATTTTACTTCATGCAGGCAGACTATTCCACGAAATTAACTCCTCCGCTTGAGGCAAAACATTGGTATGGTAAAATGAACAATTTTGCTTTTGATAATAATAATAATAATAATAATAATAATAATAATAATAAAAGGCATGAGAGTGCAGGTGGTGAGAGCTTTGTTGCCATGACAGCTACGATGACTGACAGTACTCACGTCAGTGAATCCAGGCAGCAGGAGGAGGGCTTTCGGGTCAGGAGAGGGCTGGGTCCTGCCCAGCGTGGGACGAGCCAGCGGCGGCAGAGTGCTGTGGCACACATTACCTGAGAGACATCACAGGAGGAAGGAGACAGGCAGATAGATAAACATATGGAGCAATGACTCGATGGCGATGAGGTGGTACCTTTATGATGATGATGATGATGATAAAAGCTAATAGACCAGAGCGAACCATTCTGTGCTCAAAAACTTCTCTTTTTGCAGTGTTTTGATACATTTTTGATGCTTTCTTACATCTTTGTCTTGTCTTATTTTAATTTAAACCTTATTACATAAAATGCTTTTCATCATTTGTGTTAATGTTTTCAATTCAAATAAGATGTTGAGCCAATTTGAGTGCATTTGGGATCAGTCCAGCTATATTGTAGCCCAAAACATGAAATTTGCTGTCATGGGCTTTCTAACTGGAAAAAATATACCAATATTTGATCCTAGTGGTCTTCTCTCACTCACAGATCCTGGAAATTACTTAAATAGGCACAGCTTCTGTCTGAACAGCTATAAATCATCTTATGTTGCTTTGAAACACCCACTTTGCTGTAAACTGTAATCAAGTACAACTTCCTAAGTTCTTAGAGTGGCTCAGTGGTCAGTATCTCCATTCTAGCAACAGCAGATGGCCACCCGTCCCTGAACCTGGTTCTGCCGGAGGTTTCTTCCTGTTAAAAGGGAGTTTTTCCTTCCCACTGTTACCAAGTGCTTGCTCACAGAGGGTGGTCTGATTGCTGGAGTTTTCTCTGTATTATGGTTGGGTCCTGACAATGAAATGTGCTTTGAGGCAACTGTTGTTGTGATTTAGTGCTAGATTGAATTGAAATGGATGTCAAAGTGTCCTTGTGTAAGATACTGAACCCTTGTACATGTTTTGTTTTTGTCATCCATAAGTGAAAAATTTAGCTCATTTAGCTCAAATTTTCAAGAACTAACCATCTGAAGAAAATAACTCAAAACTGAGAAACTAACTTTATCTAACTTATTCAAAATTTTGAGATACTTGCCTTAAATTTGGGTAGCAAAGATAAATTTAAAGAGAGAGAGAGAGAGAGAGAGAGAGAGAGAGAAAACTGCAGAATTTGAGTAAAACTGTGCTTTTCATACTTTTGTTCTTTGCCTAAATAAAGGCTATGCAGGATTCTTCTACCTCTTGCTGGGGGGATGCATTGTATGCTGTAATTATGCTGGGTACAAATGCGGCCTATTATTTTCTTGACAACCTTCCCAGTTTCATTTTTCTTTTTTTTTTTTTTTTTTTTTGTTTTGTTTTTTTTGCTTTTAAAATTATTTACTCAAATAAATCATTTTAGAGGGTTTTTTTTACACACACGAGCAAGCAATCAGCCCTTTCAAAACACTTTTTGGGTAAACGGGGGGGGGGGTGTCTAATCAAGAACAAACTCAAATATATGCCAAGCACGTACATAAGTGCACATGCAACCTGAAAAACAGTGCACGAGTATGTTGAGGCCATGGCTGATAAGGGTCTTGTTTGTTGTGCTGAGTGATTATAGAGCCTTATTTTCTATAGTTTGCATGTTCTCTCAGCTTGATTACAGTTTGATTTAGGACCGTGTGTAATCATCGCAATCACAATCATAACACACCCATCCGCTCTGCCATTACTCTGATTAACTGACTAAAGTCTTGTAGGGTGCACGTGTGGGTGCGCGCACGCAACGTTGCGTGATTGATCTGATTTGCTTTTGGGATGGATTACTTCAAAGAAGTTATTATGCCTTTGAGAAACACGTGACAGACTGCAGTCTGTTAAGAGCAGCGGAGTGACAATCAATAACTTGCAGGCAACGATCAAAAGCAATCAAACAGCCCAATCGTGAAACCCGTTTAAAATGCAAGTTATGAAATCTAAGAAACGCAGTAAAGTAGCTTCTGTCTTCTCTCAGCATGCTGTTACTATATTTTTGCATCTCTTTTATGCATAGACTAATATTTTCGATACTTATTTTTGCGTAAACGGACTTTAAAGTCAAAAACACCGTGATATAACCTGTGCGCTGAGTCCCTCTGTCTATATACCGCTGTGCAGGTGACTGACTTCACGAAGCTCACGTCCAATCCAACATAGCAACAGGTGACTCCGCTTATTACCAGCCTATTAAAAAACTAATGTAAAACAACAATAATAATAATAAAAAGCTTCGTTTACATACCAAAATACATTGCGGTACCAAGTGAGATCCGATTGTTCAGTGTGTGATAAAAGTGTCTTTCATCTCCGAGCAGAGATGAGGCTTCGTGTCTTCTGCTCCAGTCTCTCTCCCTCTCTCTCCTTCTTTCCTGCGGCGCCGATGCTGCTCCTTCCCATCTGGATTCCCTCCTCCTCCTCCTCCTCAACTACTCACCCCTCCTCCTCATCTTTACACAATCCGTGTAGAAATCTGTCCGTGTATCTACATCTCCCAGAAGTCTGGTTTTAATTTGGCAAATACCCGGAAATTACCTTAATTGGTACACATTACCACCCAGGATTTGTGTAGCCCCCACACACACCACTGCACCCTCAGTGCCAGCATCCACAAACCAACAGGCACATTTTTAACTCGTTGGAACAACAGAAATTATTTAGGTTTAATTTGAACTTCTAGTTGACACATCCACAATAAAAGTGCATGGGAAAGGTGCGCACGGGAAAGGAAAGGAGAGACCTGTGTTCCACTTATTGCTTTGGTAAGTGCTTTCCCATCCTCCTTTTCCTCTCGGGCCTATGGTATTTTTAGATGCATCCTTTCGCTCCATGGAGAGGAAACTGCACACGGACACATACAGTAGGTGAAAACATCACAGTCTGCCACACATACGTGCAAGCACACTTTAATGTGAGCTTGCAAATTCTATAATCATTCATCCTTAAAAAGAACATGGATCGCTCCTGTCTGTCTTTCTGACTTGCATGCACCCGCAAATGCTTGGAGAGCTCAGATGTACTGTATCTTTTGGCAGACTGACTTTCTTGTCCTCGAGCCCAAACATGTTTTCTCCCTGTGCCAATAAAGTGGACAACAACATGTGTTTTCCCACAATCCAAAAACTCTAGGGAGACTTATCTCAGGAAGGCTGTCAGTTCAACAAGTGCTGTCCTGAAACTACACACACACACACACACACACACACACACACACACACACACACACACACAC